TGTGTGTGTGTGTGTGTGTGTGTGTGTGTGTGTGTGTGTGTGTGTGTGTGACATGCAGAGGCCATTGGACAAGCTTGGATGTAGTTCCTCAGGTACCTTTCATCTTTTTTTTTCCTTCTGAGCCAGTGTCCCTCACTGGCCTAGAACACCACAAGTGCTAGATTGGCTGGCCAGTCAGTTCCAGAGATCCAGAGATCCACCTCTGACTTCAGGGATCCACGTCTCTTGTCTGTCTCTAGAGTAACAAATGCAAACTTCCTTGGCCAGCATGTTTTACACGTTTCTGGATAAAAACTAAGGTCCTTGTGCTTGCAAAGCACACACTTTACTGACTGAGCTAGCCATGAATTACCCTTCAATTGTGTGTGTTTGTGTTGAGTGTGTGTGTGTTGAGTGTGTGTGTGTTGAGTGTGTGTGTGTTGAGTGTGTGTGTGTTGAGTGTGTGTGTGTTGAGTATGTGTGTGTTGAGTGTGTGTGTGTTGAGTGTATGCCGCCTGTATGCAGGTGCCCGAAGAGGCCAGAGGGATCAGATCCCCTGGAACTGGAGTTATAGGGGATTGTTGAGCCACCTGACATGGGTGCTGGGGATCAAACTCTGATCCTCTGGAAGAGCAGCGAGTACCCTTCACCTCTGAGCATCTCTAAGCCCACAGTAGCATTTCATAAAGGGCTCCAGGGACAAGAATTCTGTCTTCTAACAGCATCATGTTCCCAAATATCTTTTCCAGAAAACAGAAACATTTCCTTTTGTCAGAATTGGTGACATCTTCTCAACGTTAGTTCTAGGTTTTTGGTGCTGGTTCTGCTCACCCTCCTCTCCCTTCTTGTTCGTCTAAGGAGAGAAAAGATACCATCTTCCATTGGCGCACCTGCCTCCAACCCTCACCCACAGACTGTGTGTGTACTTCCTGCTCTAGGGACTAGGAATCTAGGTTACCAAACTCATTCAAAACCTACATAGAGTAAAAGTAAGTTCCAAGAGAATGTCTTGGCCATGGCAGGGGTGGGGGTGGGGTGTCTTCATTGGTTCAGCAGATACTCACAAATAAGACACAAATGCTGGTCGGGTGTGGTGACACCTACCTTTAGTCTCAGCACTCTGGGAGCCGAGGCAGACGGATATACATGAATTGGAGGCCAGCCTGGTCTACAAAGCCAGTTCCAGGTCAGCTAGGGCTACATAGAGAAACCCTGTCTCTACACACCCCCCATGAAAAGACACAAACGCCTAATTTTGACATATCTTTAGATGCTAACTTTAAGATTACCTTTGTTGTTCATTATTAGATAAATAGGCTACACAGTTAAATGTCCTCTATATCAATACTGAGGAAGTTTTGAAGGTTTATTTTATTTTATTTTATTTTATTTTATTTATTATGTACACAGAAGAGGGCACCAGGTCTCATTACAGATGGTTGTGAGCCACCATGTGGGTGCTAGGAATTGAACTCAGGACCTCTGGAAAAGCAGTCAGTGCTCTTAACCACTGAGCCATCTCTCCAGCCCCTGAAGGTTTATTTTTATTTTAGATTATGTATATAAGGTGGAGGATCTGTGCATGTGAATATGTCAGATCCCCCTAGAGTTGGAGTTAACTGTGAGCTGCCCAACATGGATACTGGGAATTGAACTTGGTCTTCTGCAAGAACAGTATGTGCTCTTAACTACTGAACCACCTCTTCAGCCTCTGAGTATGTTTTAAGACAATCAATCAGAGCACTCAAAGGCTGGTGATTGAGGTCAGTGGTAGAGCTTGCCTAACATGTACAGGGCCCTGGATCTGGTCTCTAGCACCAAAAAACAAGAGACACACATCTTTAATCCTAGCACTTGGGAAGCAGAAGCAGTTGGATCCCTAAACTAAGAGAACTTGACAATAACAAGTATGAAATTTTGTACCAGCATAAAGGATATGTTAAACAACAACAACAACAAAAAGGTGTGTGTGTGTGTGTGTGTGTGTGTGTGTGTGTGTGTGTGCTGCTGAGGATGAACCCAGGCCCTTGGACCTACCAGGCAGGCAATTATTCTACCTCTGAGCTAGATATCCAGCTCAACTTCCCACAGCGTTTTCTGCAATGAGTTTATGTAGACAGTGACCATGCCGAAGAGTCCATGAACAAGCTGGAAAGGTAAGAGTCTAGGCAAAGGCTACAAAGCGTCTGTGACTGTGGTCGATCAGCTGGTACACTCTGTTGAACATAATTACAGGGAGACTATACATACATACATACTACAGCTGCAGTATTCTCCTGGAGCCCCTAGGACACGGAGACTTGAAAGTTGTGTCCTAGTCAGACCTTATTATCTCAACTGCCCTGAATTCTTGATTATCTATTGAGTCATAATTTTGTCTATTCCAATGCTGCAGAGGGACATTATGAAGTCAAATGTCCCCACTCCAGATGGCATCCAGGGCTTGGGCCATGCTAGGCAAGCACTCTATCACTGAATTACATTCCTAGCCTGAAATGATCTGGCACATATGAAATAGAAACCTTCAATGAGAAGAGAATAAAACACTTAAAAAGATTGCCTGTGCCATTATACAATCATTGACAACAAAGAACAGAAACAGAA